CCTCTGCCACTGCCACTTCTAGGCGGTATTCCAGATCCCTTGATTATGATGGGCCCGTCATAGAAGTTAGTTTAACAAATTGCTTTTTATATTTGTAGGCATATAATGTATAAACTACTAGAACGTAATCCTGTTAATTCGACTTACGTGCATGTTCCTCTGCACAATCAATTTCGTCGCTTCCGTCCTCACAATCAATTACGGAATCGCATTCGTAGCCGCGGTAAATGCATGCTGTTTCTGGCGTTGACCATGTCGTACAATTAAAAGCGTAGTCTAGTGACCACCAATACGCGCATGTCCTCTCTATAGCCATGGTGTCAACTGAAACAAAACAAAACAATTATGTGTGAACGATAGACAGTTTAGAGGCTAAACTGTCAAAATTAAAACAATTCAACGTAGATGTATTTCGTGAAATACAATCAGTCAATTTAATTCAATATACCAGGAAATCATGATATCAAACTTTTAGTTGGGTAACACTGATTTGTATATACATAATCATAATTGAAAACTAATATATCAAATCCTGGACAAATACTGCAAAGCAATCTTAAAAGTTGTTTCGTTTTATTGAGAACGCACCGCACATGACGTGTGCCACTGATTCAAAGGTGTAGATTTTAAATAAAGTTTTAACCGTACTCAGATAATTAATAGGCCTGTTTTTTTTTAATCGTTACGTGCCAATCATTTCGAGGCTATACGAAACTTCAGCTTTTAAAGTTACAGTATTAGCCATACTTTCACATTATTCATCAAAGTAAAAATAAAAGCCAAATGCAACTTACTGTTAATGAACTGTATGCAAAGCGTCACAAGGAAAACTACGAGGAACTCTGTTTTTGCCATTTTCTTTATAAACTGAAATAAAAGAATAGGCCTACAGGTTAGTAGAGCGTGAGCCGTGCCGCAGGAAAATTATGTGTACACCATGGAGTGGATGGGTGAGAGAAATGAGTGCAACTTGAAAGGGTTCGGTGCAACGAGGGAATAGGTGAAACCATCAGGGTTGGTACGGCAATGGGGAGCTCCATATTATGGTTCCAACCTTTAGAGATGGGTGTTAGGAGATCCGTGCAACAACGTGTAGAGAATCAGTGACACCATAATTTATGGTACAGCCATAGAGGGCTCTGGTATTAAGTATGGAATGAGATTTGGAAAGGCATCCCAACCTTAGATTGGCATCAAGTGGATTACTGAGTACCAATATCTTCAAAAATGAACAAATTCATTATCTGCAGTAATTATATGTTTTTGTTTTTTTACATATCTGTAGGAACTTCATTCTCATAAATACAGCACTATTGAATACCGACCATTCAAAGCTAATCTACAAGATACTTAGCTAAAGTATTATTCCCTTTCTCACAGTGCTCAAACCAAAATGTAATTCATTGCTTATCACACCACCACTGTTTATTTTTTAATCAGAACACAGGTACAAGTGTTCATTGTATGCCCGCTTGTATTTCTTAAATATAAGGTCCCGTGTTCGAATCAGATTTAAGCCTACCGTTTACAATCTATAAAACGTTTCATACCCCAAGACGATTTATAGGTTATCTTTTTATGTCTTTCATTTTGTTATAGTAAATTATAAAAAAAGTATCTGATGAGGTCTCGTTGATAAGATGCTTAAAATATGGTGTCACATTGATCTCTGTTCACGCGCAGTGTCCGTCGAATACAAATGTTGTGTCGGCATACATAGTGTGAAATCAATTGCCTCCAATAGACCTTTCCGGAGTGTCAATCAAACTTAACAACCGACTAATCGGAACAACGCTAGAAATACGCGCGCGTCTCACAAACACACGTGTTGTCCCACAAACGCACGTGTTCGCGTATGTTTTAACACTGCCGTCTTGTGGGACCTTAGCAACAAAATCCAAGGGGCGGAGCTTAGCGGAAAGGTCTATTGGATTTGAACTTGCAACGAAAGTCTCAATGGATCAGTGGTTAAGGAGACTCCCTAGACCAGACAGTAGAAGGTTCCGGGTTCGAATCCACACTCGCAGATCCCTCTCCTTTACCATTTACAATTTTATATCACGGAACAGTTAAAATTCATTGTGTTGTTCTATTATTTTGGTCGAGGCTAAATAGTTTTTAAATATACATATAGTTTATGTTGATTTATTGATTCAATTTTTCCTACATGGTATTTTACAGCATTTAAAAAATTATGTTTTTATTTAATTTTATAATTGGGGACCATTTCTTATTTATTGATAAGACCAAAAGTCCCCTCATAAAAAAAGCGCCCAACAAATCGATCATTTTATCTGTTATTACTCCCCTATGTATATTCATTACTTATGAGACGCTCGCCTTTCACCCATAGTCTTGGGTTCAAAATCATATAGCCGATCACGATTTTCTTTTTCACGTCCTGATTAAGACCATTGTTTCATCCTATGATTCAATCAAACTAACCAATCAGAACGTTTTATTTAATAGTCAGGAACACGCGCATATCCCAAACATTCGTAATTTTACGTATACTTACGCTGTTTAATGTCTGACAAATTAACAACAATAACTAAGACGGAGGATTTGTCGTCCATTTCCCGTTAGATGGGACACAAATATTTGACGTTATGTTTAAGTGGAAAAAATATATTCACCGGCATTAATCTCAAGTTTTGTCTCCATTCCTGTTTTCTGTCGCCATGCTGTATAAATGTTATAATTGCTTAACAAATAGATCACACATTTACACTCAAGTATAACTCATAATTATTGAGAAGCCATCGAAACGATTTATCTATCATGATTATTGAGTCTCCATATGCAACTAATCACTGTGTTGTTTTCATTAGGGGATACTTACCTAGATAAATCGACCGCACCCTCATATTTAAGCGTATATAAAGTCAGTGTTCAAGCTGCGGGGCTAATAGAGTTTGTATCTAAAGTAGATTCGCTGATCTTCTCTAACAACTTATCACGTCACCATCATGAGGATTGTTGGTTTGAGTACGGTCATCTTTATTATCATGTTTTTCGCTCATGGCAAAGGTAAGCAAACTGATTGACACTATTGAATCATTTCTATTAATAAAAATAATCTTACTGTTCTTATAATAATTATTTATATATTTTTTTATATTTGTTGTTAATTATTAATACCATTATTATTATAATTGGTATTTGGTATCTTATCATTATTAATTCTTACTTCATAATAGCAGTTACTAGTAGTACAGGTCTAGTGAGTAGTTGTAGTAGTAGTGTACTTTTTATAGAAGAACCAGTATAATTTTGCACAAGCTCGAAGTTCTTATTTTTGCTGATTCCGGGCTCAAAATATTCTTATTTTACCCAATTTTAAATATAGAAAATTATTGTATGCCTACTGTACAATAACATAGAGGCTAGGCTTATTACATAGCCACTCCTACTGCGCACAGAAGGTACAGAAAAGCCCAAACGAATTTTACGAATTTTTGTGCTTAATTTTGTTCTAATTTTTTAAGCAATTTCAGCATCAGTAACCTTATTAAAAAAGTAAAGTAGTATTATTATAGTAACATCAGCATTAGTAGTAGCAGCAAGCAGCAGCAGTAAATGTTGTTTTTGCTTTTAGCTATGGATTGCGATAGCCTGAAGACACTTTTACCAAGTGTATTCGAATGTGCAACATCCAAGGAATGCATATTCACCGAATGGGAGTGCGATTCACAAGTAGACTGCATTGACAAAAGTGATGAACAACCTGAGAAATGTCTCGACGAGTGGAAAGGTAGGTCCTAAATTTACAACATGATCATTTACTTATATGATACAGGTCTCTGCCGCTATGCCTTGAGGAATACCTGGAATCATCGGAGAAATCGAACTAGTGCTTTACAATTTATTTATTGGAACTTACAGGCTACTTATAGTTGTATAGTTTAATATTATATATACATATATATATATATATTATTATATATATATTACATTATAATATTACATTATTATATCATATGAATTTAATAATTGGTTAGCCTTCAGTTTTAATACTAATTGCAGTGTCTTGTCCAGGGTTTTAATATTAGTAGGTCTTTGTACTTTCAACGATACAAAAGATAACGTTCGAATAAGCATATTGGTTTCGTTGGGTTTTTCACTTCATAGAATTATTATACAAATACCAAGAAGTACGGTATTAAGTGATCGGCTATATTTCCCCTAATCCATGACGTCAATAATGCACACACACACACACTTACCTATGGATACTTTCACGAGACGTGTAAACTTTATTTGCAAACTTTTCAGTAACACACACCCATTATTATTATCATTCTTGTATCATTATTGGCTTAGCGACAGGAACTGACAACATCCGCAGTTCATTGTCTGATGAAGTGTAGCTGACGTCTCTTATACACATCTAGATGTGTATAAGAGACAGCGATCAATCTAGATGTGTATAAGAGACAGGAGGAACTGCGGAGCCTATATATTTATCGGCCTGTAAACTAAAGTATAAAGTTCCTCTGGACCCCTGCTTGGACTCCCCTGTCGGAGAATTTCCAGCAAGGTCGTCGGGGAAAAATCAAATCTCGAGCGCCGAAAGTAGGCCTACAATGAAAATATTCCTTACTAAGCTGTAAGCGGGGGAAAATCAAATCTCGAGCGCCGAAAGTAGGCCTACAATTAAAATATGCCTTACTAAGCTGTAAGCGGGGGGAAATAAATTCCCGAGCGCCGAATGTAGGCCTACAATTAAAATATGACTTACTAAGCTGTAAAATTTTAGGGATTAAAGACTGCGAGCAGTGCTACACACTGCGAGGTGTTGTATACTATTGCGATCGTATGGGTTGAAGTGGTGGCGCCAGCTCTTCCCGACGGTTACTGGTACCTCCGACAGGGGGACTTTTAATATGCTAGGTTTTCTATCAAATTATCCTCTTTATAAAAGAATCCCATATTTAACACAAAATTTATTGGTCTTTGATAAAAAATTTCCCCGACAAATTTATATTTTTCCCCGAGCTGTTGGGGGGGGGGGGGTCGGCTAGGCTTCCCCGATGGTGGGTGGGGAAGAAGTGAACCTCTTGTCGGGGAGCTTAGACCCCTCGTCGGGGAATTTTTGGCGCCGCCCCTGTGGGAATCCGGCTCTGAGTACCGGTATAAATTTTCTTAAGCCTACTACACCTCCACCACCATCACGCGAATCTCACCATGACGCTACATCATTTTAAAATGTTGCATGACAATTATTGTAATCATGATAATCAGTGCGTCCTAGGTAGGGGAGATAGCTGATTGGAAAGGTAATATTATAGGTGATATTTAAATATCACCTTTTTTGCCAGAATTCGTATATATTTCCCTTTATTACGATACGCAAACATTGTTTCTTGATTTCCTTTATAAGTAAGTGATGTGTATTATTAATTAAATATACTTTTTTTTCTCAGAATCGTGTAAAGATTTCTTCAAACCGTTCGTATGCAACAACGGTATGTGCATTGATGGTGGCAAAGTTTGCAACGATATACCCGACTGTTCTGACGGAAGCGACGAAAATAACTGTTCCGCCTAGAAGTTTAAACGGAGCAAATATAACCTCAATTATTTGTACCTCATTCTTGAAACGGGGACCAATGTTCTTCCAGCCACTTAACCCAGAACTTCTCGCATCGGCCTCGTTAAACTATCCTTGACTGAACGAAACTACCCCATTCTTGCAGTAGGCCAATAGTATATTGATTCGATTTTCTGATCGGTTCAGTAGTATTTCTGCGGCGGATGCAAGGGGGAGGGGTGCAGATTGTCGTAAGAAAAATTATTGTTGTATTACATTGTTGATATGAATTATTGGTAAGATTTTTAAGGTAGGAGAGTGCAATTTCCGGACACCCAGGGGTCCAAATTCTTAAAATGTTCGCACCTCAGCCTCGGCCCCAGCCATGTTGGTGCTGAGGTGGAGTGGACTCTCACGCACCAATGGGCGCGGGTCAGTGTGGAAACCCCCCTCCCCCACATATTTTTTAAGGGGATGGGTTGGTCCCTCTCACTTTTCGTGAGTCAAGAAGATGCCTGAAAATTGTTGAAATAAACTGCACAAATGATCCAGATTTTAACGAAAGAACGCTGTACAGCCAGAGTAGGCCTACATCTTATTTTATAGCACGATACCGGTATCTCTGCCCACAAACATCTGAATTACCATAGGTGTACACGACTCGCGTGCGCGTGCATTTATTAGGCCTATATTTTGAGTAAGTATGAGAAAAGGCGTGCAAAAAATAAGATTGGTTTTCGGCACATGAAGTAGGTAAAGTAAATACATCAAAGACAAAAGTTTTATTTTCTATGGTACATCACAGCGATTAATTAGATCGATGATAATGATGAATTTTACTATATAAGAGTGTCATAACCAGCAATCGAGAGGTAAATATTCCCCAAACTTTTTCCACCTCAACCCCAACTGAGATGAGTGTGGACTCATGGTTTTGAAGTAGGTAAAGTAAGTACATCAAAGACACTGTTTTTAAGTTTTATAAACATCACTCATATTAATTAGATCTCTGTAGTTGCCGAAAATACATGATTAAAGATCATGAGAGATTTGCTGGCGCTTCATTTAGACTATTTAATGATGGTCTGATGATGAATTTACTATAGTGTCATTTCCGGCCATCTAAAGACACTATTTCCTCAAATTTTCACCTCCAAAATGTCCCTCCACCCCACCACCTTCCAAAACAGATCTGCGCCCTTGCATGCACCCCTACCGCCAAATCCTCGATCCGGCCCAGGGTTTTCCAATCAGACAATTTAGATTCGGTGTGAATGCGTTTTTAACCATAGATTGTGAACATGTGGTTTAGTTAATGATACACATTTCTCAATTTATGTTATTGACTTTGTTTTGAACTCTCAACAATAGGCGTCAAAAATATCTCTTGTATGTATCTTATAAATAATGCATGGATAGCCGTAGCATAGAAATCAGTGATATGATTATATTGCAAACGGAAAATAAGTTACCTTGCCGTTATTATATCTTCAGCATACAGATTTCCCCTGGGCCTACAGGCATAAATGAACTTATTCTATCTTTTAATACAAATCTTATGGCAGATTAAGATTATAATTTTATGTGGTTGTTACAGATAGTTATATTATTGTATCTATTAAATGAAGATAATAAATCAATATAAAGTACATATAATTTTGTGTTATTTTGATACTTCTATTATGGAGAATCAGTTTCTTTATGGAAATGGAAATTATTATTTTCAGGTAAATTCAATGATGTTGAATAAAATGTTGATAAAACCAAGAAATATGGTGATGATGAATTGGTGAATTGATAAAGATCAATAAAAAAAAGTGGGGGGGGGGGGAATAATAGGATGATGATAATGATGACGTATTCCTTTATAACCCTAAACAATTTATAAGTCGAATCAAAATAATATCAAACCAATGTGTACCCAGTAGGCCTATATCACTGTAAAACCATCGTGGATGATTTAAACGCAAAGCTCCCCGCAATGTTGTCATGTCTTTGGTGAACGTTTAGAAGCTAAACGTGTTTAGGTTTATGACGTGTTTAGCAAGATGTGCTAAGGTATTTGACATCACGATGTCAAATACCTAAGCACATCTAATTCTAAACAGGTCAAGATCCTAAGCACATTAAGATATACCGTAGGCCTATCTAAATACGTTTAGATTTCTTAAACGTGTCACCAAAGACGGAAACATTGCGTCCACCACGCTGTTTTTACAGTAGGCTTATATGAAGTTTGAAGTGCCGTTTGACTGTGATTTATCAAAGCATAAGTTCATGTTTTTTTTGGTAGGCCACTGTATAGGCTAGGAAGATGACCCTCACTGTGCATAACGGCATTCAGGACTAATCTTATCAATATACCGACTCAGAATTCGATATCAGTTGTTTTACTATCGGTTTTCGGGGGATGTTTGCATACATATGGGTTACACCAAGCCTATGTTTACATTCAATTTTAGGCTACACGATATGGGGTACCGTACCGTAACGTCTCGCAAGAGTCAGGCAGAAAGGTCACCAAATCAAGCTCAGCCTCACCAAAATATGGCACCCAGACTCTTGGAAAATAATATGGTCTTTTTTAAATTAGTAAAAGATTGCAAAATTGGCAAAATATGCTTGTATTCTCTAGCTATTAAATATTATCGCATTCGAGATTCCACTTTATTAAAAACTTTTAATTAAATACTAAATAAACAGGCTATGTAAAAACCATGTGATTTACTGATTGTATTAAGAGCAAATTCACACTCCAAACATACTAAGCGAAACAATATTGATTTTGTTCTTATTTTTTAAATAATTCGGTATTGATGATGTTTTAATAATGAATGAAATATTGAAATTACAGATTCAAATCAAATAAAGGATCCGTTTCAACTAATTATTTTCATTCAAACACACCTACTGTTTGGCAAAATTGGCAAAATATGCTTGTATTCTCTAGCTATTATATATTATCGCATTCGAGATTCCACTTTATTAAAAACTTTTAATTAAATACTAAATAAACAAGCTATGTAAAAACCATGTGATTTACTGATTGTATTAAGAGCAAATTCACACTCCAAACATACTGAGCGAAACAATATTGATTTTGTTCTTATTAATAATAATTCGGAATTGATGATGTTTTAATAATGAATGAAATATTGAAATTACAGATTCAAATCAAATAAAGAATCCGTTTCAACTAATTATTTTCATTCAAACACACCTACTGTATTTTAACACCATGTGAAAAAATACAAGAAGAGCAAATGCCAATGAAGATAATTAATTTGAAAACTGAACTGAAATATATTAGAATTATGAACATTACCAATCAATATCGGCATCTACATTGTTCCATGTCGATTAAAAAATAACCTGAATAAGAGAATAAATATCATGTTAGAGTGAGTCAATGTTTAATGACCTAAAAGGCCTACAGCTGTCTTCTGCTTCCCACCTACGACTAAAATCACGAGTGCTTTGAAATTTAACGATCTATCCTCTGCACGAAAGGTAGCCTACCGGTAGTGAATTTGTTGCTCGTCTATACGAGGGAGGGGGGTGGGGATCTGGCTTTGGTGATAAATTTCTCCTAACCTAAGGCTCCTACACCACCACCATCACGCGAATCTCCCATTAAGATACAGCAACTGTTACATAATAATAATCATCACATGCTTCTTCTTCGTGAACTTATTGGCATTGGCAATTATAAGAGGGTGCGAAGGTTACGTGGGGAAAGCTCTAGCAAAAAGGGTGATTTTTTGCTATCTGCTTTGCTTAGCGAATTTCTAGTGGGGGTCTGTGTCTGTCGGGTTTCGTAGATACTGTAGATACGCCACTAATGACAATAACGTTTCAGTACACTTCTCAACAGCACAGCAGTGGCGCTGGAAATTTGCCGACAAGAGGTCCGACATGCCTGACTGAGGGGTCCGAGGGGCAGAAAAAGCCTCGGTCGACGGCCCAGATAGGAACTCCCTTGTAAGGTTCACAGTGGAGTTTTTATGGCTTATTATAGTATGGTTCAAAATGTGCTTTTTATTAGTGATTGGCAGTCAGAAACAAATTATTATTTTTGTATATTTTTGATCCGACGACCTAGTCGTGCGTCAGATGACGGGACGGGGGTCCAGGCCTGTCCGACTGGAGGGGGAAATGTCCATTCTGTCCTTCCCCCTCCCACTGTCGTCACCATTCTCAACACAAAAACAGTGCATGTATGTTGCAATAAAATTGAGTGACTTACAATCTATCCATTGGCCTCGAATCAGCTGTGTGACATCGACTTACAGTAGTCCATGTGTGTTAATCATTGTTACCCTGCGAGTGCGTAGGCCTATTAGCCAATTGTATTAACATATAGGCCTATTTAATATATCTGACATTGACCTTCTTACAAAACAATAGCATTAGGAATATATATTAAAATATAATAAAAATAATATATGTATTCTGAGAAGCACAAACATGATATAAACAAATATAAGTTAGATTAATAATAATAGTAATAATAATAATAATAATAATAATAATAATAACAGCCAACGTTTTTTATGTTGCCGACTGTTTATTACCTCTCAGTTCCTATGGCGTGCCTTTTATCTTAGAATTTATCTCGCCTTATGTCTTACAGTTTTTAGTTCATCTGTTCTGTATTTTTTCAGTCATACGTATAACGCTGAGAAAGGACACAGGCGTTTCTTTTTCGTATTTGTTTTTTATTATATATTTCTGTGAAACATACGTGGAACCAACTATATATAGAAGGACGCACATCTCGGGACATCAAAGGTTATAACTCTGGCATCGAAATTCTAGGCGCCTAATGATATTTTGCACTAACATTAGACTGAAATTATATTCTTCATTTCAACATTAATTTTACCGATATTGTGACTCACTTCGCAGAAAAAATTAATAAATGTTCTGTATCTACTCAAATGTTCGTTTTGTGCACCCTGTCTCTTATACACATCTAGATGTGTATAAGAGACAATATATATACATTTATGAATGTGTGTATGTATGTATGTATGTATTACGCATATAATTGATACGCTATTTCATATTGAGTTCTAACTTTTTTTCTTTTTGTTTTGTAGAAATATGTAAATTGACCTTTGCGCCCTGTAAGCGCTGGAAATGATTTTTTGCGTACCTGGAATGACCTTTGTCAGGTCAGCTTGACGTCGTGTGTGGTTTTGGAGTCGATGATTTTGCATTTTATGCCGCGAGACGAACGTGTGTTATATCGCGAGGCTAACGTTGGTTTATCATCAATTTTTAGGTTATAGACCTGTCTTTCTGCTAGTAATGTCGCAATACGCAGTGAGACTCCAAAGTGGTGCATCTATGCCCATCATTGGATTAGGCACTTGGCAGGTTTGTATTGTATTTATTAGGAGGCTTACTTACTCCTCCTCTACTTAAAGCCCCATTCCCGGCAAAATTTCAATTTTTAAGAAAAATCTAATTTTTGTATAATGTTATAAAGATTTATAAATATAATACGGAATTGCTAGTTTAACTGAATTTAGACATTCCTAAGAATGAAAAAAATGTAAAATAAGACTGAAATTTGATTTTTTGTGTTGCGGATGAATTTTTCATGTTGATTTTGCGATAGGTCGTGAGAAGAAATATCGTAGGCGCCGAAAACATTAGCCTATCCAACGCTGCTAGGCTACGCCTAGCCTTACCTCGATTTAGGTTCTGTTATCACACATAAAAACGGCCGACATGATATTTTCCGTTGCTAGTATTGACACTTGTGAAATATAATATTTCATAGATATTATTTCAAATTTGTTAAAAAACTGATTCTGACTGAGATTTTGACACTTAACAAACATTATCTCAGCCTAACCGAACGACCGCATTGTGCGAGATGCGAAGTACAAAAAGTAATCTCCTTAGAGAGGGCGCAATTTATTGACTGTATAAAGTATACGTAAAAGCGAGAGTATTCCAGTGGATGCGATCTACAACCTCTGAATTTGCCTAGTAACGATGAATTCGTCGATAAAATGGTAATATTTTATGAGAAATAGTCTGTATTTCTCTTTTTTTTTATTCTTTTGCGTAAAACTAAAATTCATGCCAATATTTTTCCATGATTTATAATAATTGGAGTAATGCAAATGCATATTTTCTAAAAAAAGTCATTTTTAGTGAAATTTGCCGGGAATGGGGTTTTAACTACACTACTAGCCAGCTAGGCTATATGCTTACGGCCGGTACAGAAAGTAGGCCTAGGCCTGGTAGGTAGGCCTTGCTAGGTCAGGCTTACCAGACATATTTAGGCCTAGGCCAGGGATTTGTTATAGTGAACAACTCCCTGCCTAGGCCTAGTGTGGTACAGTACAATAGGAGTAAACTTTACTTCCATTGATGTTAGTGGTTGCCTAGAGACGCATTCGATAGCCCTCGCCAATGCCTAGCTAGGGCCCAGCCTAGGCCTATGAGGTAGACACATTCTCTATTTATCTTTTAGTTTTATTTAGAGCAAATACCTAGGGGTTAGGCCGGGCCTATCCTAACCTAACTTAACTAGGCCTATGCTGGCCGGGCCTAGGCTAGGTAGAGCTAGTAGTAGTAGTACTATACATAGTAGTAGTAGTAGTAGTAGTAGTACAGTTGTACTAGTAGTAGTTAGTAGTAGTAGTAGTAGTAGTAGTAGTAGTAGTAGTAGTAGTAGTAGTAGTAGTAGTAGTAGTAGTAGTAGTAGTAGTAGTAGTAGTAGTAGTAGTAGTAGTAGTAGTAGTAGTAGTAGTAGTAGTAGTAGTAGTAGTAGTAGTAGTAGTAGTAGTAGTAGTAGTAGTAGTAGTAGTAGTAGTAGTAGTAGTAGTAGTAGTAGTAGTAGTAGTAGTAGTAGTAGTAGTAGTAGTAGTAGTAGTAGTAGTAGTAGTAGTAGTAGTAGTAGTAGTAGTAGTAGTAGTAGTAGTAGTAGTAGTAGTAGTAGTAGTAGTAGTAGTAGTAGTAGTAGTAGTAGTAGTAGTAGTAGTAGTAGTAGTAGTAGTAGTAGTAGTAGTAGTAGTAGTAGTAGTATGATTTATAATAATTGGAGTAATGCAAATGCATATTTTCTATAAAAAAAAGTCATTTTTAGTGAAATTTTGCCGGGAATGGGGCTTTAACTTACACTACTAGCCAGCTAGGCTATATGCTTACGGCCAGTACAGAAAGTAGGCCTAGGCCTGGTAGGTAGGCCTTGCTAGGTCAGGCTTACCAGACATATTAGGCCTAGGCCAGGGATTTGTTATAGTGAACAACTCCCTGCCTAGGCCTAGTGTGGTACAGTACAATAGGAGTAAACTTTACTTCCATTGATGTTAGTGGTTGCCTAGAGACGCATTCGATAGCCCTCGCCAATGCCTAGCTAGGGCCCAGCCTAGGCCTATGAGGTAGACACATTCTCTAGTTATCTTTTAGTTTTATTTAGAGCAAATACCTAGGAGTTAGGCCGGGCCTATCCTAACCTAACTTAACTAGGCCTATGCTGGCCGGGCCTAGGCTAGGTAGAGCTAGTAGTAGTAGTACAGTTGTAGTAGTAGCAAAGATACTAGAAATACAAGATAGAGTTCTCCACACAAAAAAAGTGTTCCACGTGTTCCACCGAAATGCAAGGTAGAATACAAAAAATGGGACGCCCCCTACAGATGGATCTAAAAAAAACTTGTGCCAAACTTTCGTTACCAAGTCGTCGCGTATTTTATTATCAATTCTCAACAAAGATACTAGATATAAAAACAAACTGGAATAGACACCCAGACAGTGACATCGGTGAATACATAACCTCCTTGGTGGCGGTAGAAATCATTGCTATTATCCAAATAATACACAAAACAATTAAAGCATAATCATGAATCAGTAAAGCATAAAACAACAATACAGCGCAGAATCGCATGGCCGGACGCCCTCTTAGTGAAAAAGTTTTACTCCATTAGTGGAAAAGGAAGGGCGCCTTTTGCGTCTGGATATACTTAGCAACAGAAGGGCGCCCTGTACGTTGGGCACGAAGTATAGGAAACTTGCATGGTTAAAAAGAAGGGCGCCTACGTTGGGCACGACTTCTGCCTCATTTTTACAATGCGAGAACTCTATCTTGTATTTCTAGTATCTTTGGTAGTAGTTGCTGCGAAGCAGCCAATTCATATTCTTGACAGCAATTTGACCTCTGAAAGGTCATTTTTTGTCAAAAAACCTGTGCCTAAGACAACTGAAAAGCGGAGTTTCCTTCTTTCGTTCTGCCGGGTAAAATCAATTACTTTAGGCGACGTTTGTAGACTAACCTACTCGTACCAACGTCCGCATGTCGCGACGCTGGAGTACTATTCAGCTTTTTTACTATATTTCTAGGTTTCCTATTTCTACGTTTAATCGGCTCATGTCTCAGCCACAATATTTTGAGGCCAATATTATTTACGAACCCAGTTAAAATTATTTACTAGCCTATTTCAACGTGCTAATTATTACATTTAGGCGACGCTTGTTGTAGACTGGAATAATAGTGTTTTCGGAAATAAATACCATTTTATACACATGCGCAGATCGATTCGCCAGCAGCGAGTCATCGGCCAGCAGCAGCGAGTCGCCAGCAGCGAGATGTCACTGCAGCAAAACACTATTGTACACGGTACCAACGCTGTTCTAATATAGACAATGGGTCGTGTCTCATATTATTTGTTATATTTTTATTATTTAATATTTTCACTTGACTCGCAAAAAATAATTTTGTTTAGAACATTTTATGCAGTTTTACTTCGCAGCACTTCACTTGCAATTTGCAATTTCTAGTTGTAGTATTAGTAGTACTATGCCTAGCTAGCCCTGGGCCTAGTAGTAGTAGTAGTGGTGGTAGTAGTAGTACTGTAGTAGGCCTAGCCTAGGCCCCCTAGACTGGCCTACTGTGGTGAAAACCATGCAAATCAAAGCTTCATTATCAGTAAGCTTATCCAATTCAAGAACTAGCTCTAAGTTGTATTCTCATGTTAAACAAAAATATTTCATTTCAACAACATTTATTACTTTCATCTTTTCTTAGATAAACAGTAGAAAATAATGAAATTGAGCACTTAACAGGGGCGACGGAAGCATTTATTGATTGGTACTGCGTGAGAGTTCAAAACATAATAATCTCAGCTCCATCTAGGATTACATTAACAAATAGGCTTATATTTTAAAACATCATATCAGAATATTGGTACGGCGGCCGTCGTACCAGCAATAATAATATTGGAATAATTGATAATAATAGTAATTTAACATGTTAACAAGGAAAAAGGCAATGGTCCTGAAAGTACATTCGGTTTAAAAGATCAACCAAAACTTGTGTTAGGCCAGCCAATAATATAAAGTATGATAATACAGTAAATTTCAAAGCACATCAAAAACAAAGAACGGAACAAATAGGCTAGCTAGGAGGCATAGAAGTAGAATCTTGTTTATTGCATAAATTATTGTGGTGGTATTTTTTTTCTTGTTTTAAGCACTTTTTACTCCTTACCAGGCAAGTCAATAACAACATCAGCACATATTTGAATGCATTGTATTTATGAACCCACACTGGAAAGTTTTGTTTTTGGTTTTTTTTTTTTTGCATGTTTTGTTTATTTGCATGAAAAATCACTAGGAAAATAAGTGAGCTGAATCGTAATCGGCTTTTATTTTTCAAAGTGCAAATTATTGACCTAATTTTTGTGCAGGGGTATACAATTACACTTGCCTAAGTCAACTTTGCCTAACTCGGATAATTTCTAAGTCAATCTTATTTTACATGCCAAATTCTTGGGTTCAACTGTATTACCCGTGCAAGCCTTACTATACAGTCTGATCATGAACTAAGACAAACTGCTTTATGGTGTGAGAGCTATGATAAACTTGATCATGAGATTTAATATAAATAATATTTTTTATTAGTAGGCTGTAGTTAATTGAAATTAAATACATTTTCACTTGATATGCATTCATTTCTTCAGTCTAAGCCAGGGGAGGTAGAAAATGCTGTTAAAGCTGCCATTGACTGTGGCTACCGACACATCGATTGTGCCTGCGCTTACCAGAATGAACAAGAAGTTGGTACAGCTTTGAAGGCTAAGATTGATGATGGCACAGTAAAGAGGGAAGACCTATTTATCACCAGCAAGGTAAAATTG